GTTCCAAAATCGAATTAACAGCAAACGGAAGTCTGCAAACACTGAATGCACCGGGATTTTTCATACAAACGTTTGCCTAAAGTATGTTTGTATGGGCTCCTTTAAAGTGGTTGTAATCCTCTGAAATAAACAAAGCATATCCTCATAAATGTACTTGTTTCAGCCCATAGCACTTAGAAGTGACAGAAGAGGAAGAAGAGAGCAAACAGAAGCTGCTCGGACAGTGTTTCCAGACACTAGGTAATACTGGTATATGGCCCACCCTCCTCACTAAAACACAGCAGACAACCGACAGCCTCAGATGTGTCGGTTTCCCAGGGAGGCTGTGTAGAAAGGATTGTGTCCTGTCCCTCCACTCAGATCCCAGATTACACTCAGCTCTGTGCTTTATTGTGTGCAACATCAGATCTCCACCCCTATCTCCTGGAAGCTGAGAAAAATATCATCTATATTGAGTAATTTAGAAGGCTGTACAGGATAGAGGGCTGCAAATAAACAGGTACAGCAGGGGTGCTCATCCAGCGGCCTGCGACCTTCTGCTCTGGGATGGCAGGTCAGCAACTCCAGTTGCCAAACTGCCACCCCAGAGTATCAGAGTGCATGCAGCCAGCACCAGCAGTGAAGGAAACAAGCGACCTCAGGGGCAGCAGGTGCTGCATAAGCCGATGCTTCCTCAGTAGTGCTGAGTGATACCAAGTGCATTTTGTTTGGGACCTTTCTAGCAGCCTAGCGTTGCCAGCAGAAGCTGGAAGAGAAAAAGGTCAGTTTATTAAGCATCTCATAGTTTTGCATTGGGCATATCAGCATGTATATAAAAGGGTTATTAGGCTGCTTTCACACTGATCCAGTGCATCTGTGGCTTTCCCGCAGGTTAGCTGCACTGAGCCATAGAATTCTATTACATCCTGCAGGCTTGGTGCGCTTTCTGAAAGCACACCAAAAAACTGAATACAGGAGCTTTGGTGTGCTTTGAGAAAGGATCGGGGCTGCTCTGTTCAAAACGAAACCAAAAAACATAAAAAAATTGACCATTTACAAACACCTTCAGTTCTCTGGGTCTGTCCAGTCCAGTGCTGGAAAATGTCTTTGCCCAATTCCTGGAAGTGGTGCTTTTTCCAAGGCAGAGCATACCACAACATAGCACATCCCTGCCTGCAATCAGGACTTCCTGGGTAGCCATACATAAGTGGCCTCCTGCACCTAAAAGGATCCACAGCTGTATCAAGTAATACCCATTTTTCAATAAGAAATTTGATCAAGTTCACCAAGGAAAATCTAACTGGAAGATTATAATGACATTTTAATTAAATCATTTGATTTCTTAGATTTTACAGTGTCTGTTAATAAGTGAACGGGAAACACAATATTTTTTAATTACTATTCAGTAATTTATATGGAGAAAATGCATGTATGTATATCTGCACATTTCTCCTATATGTCAGGTAACACCTGCACATTTTACCCCTAAGAGCTGTGTGTATAGATAGAGTTTGTGTCCCGTAGAAAGCAGATTAGCAGTCGATGAAAAAAGGAGTGACAGTCACATTTCTGACCGCATTAAAACCACAGATGCCCTACTGTAGTTTTTTGTTTGCATTAAACCTAAATTAGTAGATGTAGCTCACATGAGGTTAAGTATTAATATAAACCATTATGCTTTTGATTCTAGCATATGTCATCACTGTGAATATTAGTGTGTGACTGACGGGATATGGTGCAGCAGCAGATTTCAGCCCAGACAATACAACATTCCCCTCTGCTAGGGCCAGATGGAGCTCACTGAAGCAGGTGCAGTGCAGTCCAATGAGCCTGGTGACAGCTCTGTTTATTCTGGATTGACTTCCAGCCAGCATCTGTTAAGTAACTGAACATCTCCAAGAGGGGAGCAGGATTGCTGTCTGATGGGCTCATTTAAACACTCTTGCTTTGTGCACGGTAAATGTTTTGTCACCTTCAACATTATGTTGCAATAAAAATTAAAAAAAAAAAAACAGACCTTTTAAGCAAAGGACACATTTTAAATGAATCTTTTAGGAGTGACCCTAGCATGCTGTATTTGCACTGATCATTGTAATCGGAATGGGGCTCCTTGTAACTGGATGCCATTGTTGGACCAAGTAAGTGAAGTTTATTTCTTTGTTGCAGGCATTCATAGAATGCTGACAATTTACATACTGTACATTCACATCAGTCTCTGCCCTCAAGAAGTATACAAATCTAAGGCCCCGATTTCACATACATACACACATACACATACACATAATAGGGACAATTTAGATGGGAACCTATGAACCTACCAGCATGTCTTTGTGAGGAAATGAGAGTACCTAGAGGAAATCCACACAAAAACATGGAAACTCCATGAAGATAGTGTCCTAGAAAGTATTCAATCGGAGGGCTCCAGTGCTGCAAGGAAGAAGTGCTAATCACTGTGTTGTCCTAAGCCAAAGCTTTTTTATTGGATATAATAGGGAAGGGTTAGAAACCCTGTCATTTTCTGCCCTACAGACACATCTAGAATTGAGATGTAGTCTCTCCAGAAATGAGCAGAAATGAGGGAAATCCTCCTAGGGCTTGTGTTGAGGTGGTATTCATTAGCATCAGAACTGCTTCTCCCCCCCCCCCCCCCACAAACCTATGGGAATGCAAAATCAATTTGAGGCAAGTCAAATGCAGTTCAGAAGAAGAAAACTATCAGTCCATTGCAATTTCACTGAACTCAGAATGATCCCAAACATGTCTTAACTGAATGTCAAAAGCAAGATGAATTTTCCTACTGACACAAGTCCTTAGTTGGCACTGTGAGGTGTCCCCTGTAGAAGAGTTCCTCTCTATTCTTGCTCCAGTGACACCTAAAAGTTTGGATTTTCCCTCACTTTCAGTCTGGGACACTAGGACAAATGGAAAGGGTTAATTTTCCCATCAGGAATATAAATGCCTGACAGGCTTGATCATCCTTCCATACTCTGCAAAAAAAAAAAAAAAAAAAAAAAAAAAGAAGAGGAAAGAAGGACACAAGGGTGGACCCCACCAGTAGTAAGGCTTGATCCCCAGCAGGGATCACTGCATCGGAGGACTATGGCATTCAAGACTGCTGCAACAGCTCTTGGACACATGCAGTGGGAGGGCCACGTGAGGAACAGGGCATGTCTAGCTGACATTTCCCCAAACCAGGCAACATAGGGCCCAGGAAGTGACATGTGGACGCCATAGTATTAAAACAAGGGGCAGCTCTGAAGTCTCTCAGAAGCACACCAAATTCAGGATTCCAGGGCGAGAAGGCATCCTGTGAGGGGATCAACCAGTGCCAACAGACATTGCACAAGGAGGTAGGGAGACTGAAAATGGGGATAATGGCAAAACATTACGAATCTACTATCTGCAGTAGTCCGTAGCAGTCAGTCTTGCAAGGTACTAACAAAACAGCCTAGGGTAATTTGGTCATATGTCCAACAACATGTGATATCTCACTGCACCCCCCCCCCCCCCCCGGGTCACACACAGGGCTGTTTCAGCCAGCCCTGCACAGAGTTAGTGGATCTGCATGAGCTCAAAAGGCTGATCTGTGGGTACTACTGGATATAAAATTATATAGCACAGTGGCTAAATGGTTAGCACTTCCGCCTGGCAGTACTAGGGTCGCTGGTTCGAATCCCAACCCCAGCACCACCTGCCTGGAGTTTGCATGTTCTCCCTGTGACTGCGTGGGTATCCTCTGGGTACTCTTGTTTCCTCCCACACTCCAAAGACATGCTGGTAGGTTAATTGGCTCCTGTCTAAATTGGCCCTAGTATGTATATGTATGAATGTGAGTTAGGGACTTTAGATTGTAAGCTCCTTGAGAGTTAGGGACTGATGTGAATGTACAATATATGTATGTAAAGCGCTGTGTAAATTGATGGCGCTATATAAGTACCTGAAATAAATAAATATAGCCTGTAGCCCAGCTCAGCTGTTGACTGAAAGTCCTAAAGAAGAAAACAAAACGAAAAAAACATAACCCTGCAAAGGCAGGATTACTCAGCATAAGCTTAGGTCCTTACTCTTTGATACTAGGCAAAAGACTGAGCTGCCTTTCCAAATGAGTGTTTGGCCACCAGCAGGGGCTGTCCTTAGGTGATTTAATTTTTGTGCCTAGAGTCCCTCTCCTTCAGATTGTGCTCAAATTCTACAGTCAAGAATCCAGTACTGGACTGCGCCCTTCAATGAACTGATAAGCAATAAACTTAATTCAACCACTTTGTAAAATGTGCAGGCATGCTATGAGATACAATAGGTTTAATAAGGTGCATGTCACCTCCTGGACTTAGCTATCCTTCCAGGCATCATAAAACTGTCAGATGTAAATTAAAGAGCTATCACAACATTTCCAAAGCTCTGAAGCTGGACCTTCTAGTCTTTTCACTTTCAGCTGCAGAGTCGCATGCAGTTGCTGTGCCTGCCCCTCCTACTGCCCAATCACAGAATGCTTTGTATTATGTGAACTCATTCACAAAGTAGAAAGAGTTCTGTGAATGGGATACAGAGGAGAGGTGCAGGCCTGGCAGCTTCATGAGACTCAGCTGAAGGAGCTGAGACTAGTTTTGGAGCTCAGGAGGGGTGGGCACAGCAGCTGTCTCTCTTCTTAAAGTCCCGGAGTGTAGTGACAGCTATCCTCTGGGAGCTCCATAAAACTGCCAGATGTAAATAAAAGAGAAAAGTCCAGGTGGTGGTATGTACCTCATTAGGCTTAAATCATAGTATGCATGCAAATTTTATAAAGTGGTTGAACTCCAGGTGTTCACCTTTAAATACACTTTAAACTTAAGAAAGGATGTGTGTGTGTGTGTGGGGGTGGGGAATAAAACAGTTTGGTTAGTCCTGTTTTGGATAATTATATTTTACACACATCATAAGAGTAGAAAGGAAACTGTAAAACTTCCACAGAAAAGAAGGTCTGACATTTTTCACAGTGCTCAGTTTACTGCTTGTGACTTCCATTTCTAGAAATAAACACTGACCTTAGAGAGACAGAGAGAATACGTTCAATGTCGATCTTTCTTTTCACAACTTCCTTCACTAGTCCCTTATCTGGACCCTGTTTCATTTTTTCCCGTCCAATGAGGTACACAGATTTCGGTGTTAGTATAAGGTCTCTTTTTATGCCCTGAAAAAACAGATAAAAGATATTTATTTGTATTATTCATAAGTTTAAATATACATGCAAATGCACATAAATGTGCCAAGTCACACAATGAGTCACTACCTGTGAGGGTTGTGACTTTACACCCAGCATAAAGCTCACTGACAATATGACCCATTTCATGGGCAAGGACTGGAGGGGGCTACATGATGTAAACACTATCCCCACCCCTTCACTTATATAGCTGATGACAGCTCAGGACTGCATCTGGGATTGGTTGCATGCAGCAAGTCATCAGGGTTCTTTTTTTTTTCAGGAAAGTCTATGGGCATTGTGATGGACTTACAATCCATGCAATCCATGACATTTTTGGGATTTTTTTTTTTTTTATTAAAGGGTAAGTTCACCTTTTGGATAAAAAATAATACATGCATATTTTTGCAGGCAAAAAAATGTGCATGGATTATTTTTGTCCAATAGCAGCCTGGAAAGCATTGCACCAGTGATCAGTAGATGGCTGATGCCATGCAGGTCTCCTGCAGACCTGGCAGAATATCTGCTTGCTGTAGGAGAAGTACGGTCAAGCTAATATTCTGAGAGGAAGCTTCAATGAACTACCACAGAGCTCCACAGCGCCGTGGTAGTTAATTGAAAACTATAAGCCCACAGCTACTAAGACTGTTGGGACTTGAAGTTCATTCATTTGCGGATGTCCTTGAATGAATGATCCGAACAATGTGGGTGGAGCCCCACACGGCCACGCAGTTTTCAAATTTGACAGATAGTATGGGGAGACTTCTCCTTGTATTATCGGTCAGAGGGAGGGGGTGGTGTGCGTGGCCACAGCTATGAACATGTTACATGTTCCCAAAGCTGAACTTATCCCTTAAAGAGAAGTATGGGCTCTCTGCTCTGGCCCCAGAATGTTCAGTGGAGCACTGGGCTGTAGAGGGGGGCGGGGAGGGGCTGGCTCAGGCTCTTGGCAAATCATTGAGAGGCTGAGCCAGGTGACAGTCCAGGATTCTGGGTGGATCCGGACCATATGGTCAGGATCTTTCAGAGCCTGGACCAGCTCTGAAGTGCACTTCCATAGAAGACAGAGACAAAAAAGCTTTGGCTATACTTCTCCTTTAATGAAAGACTTGTCAAATGTTTGCGTGTTTATTTATAGGGGACAATTTTTTTTTTACCCCATACTCATTCCCATGGTGAAGTGTGGTATTGAGGTGCCCTATATTAAAAGGGCTTTCAGAATACGATAGGTCCCCCCGCAACTACCGACCAGGGTTGGGGGGGGGGGGGGGCATGTGACCTGGTATGGGGGAACACACTCTGGCTCACACTTTTATTCCCCCCTGCTTTCCTGACCAACCAAGCTGCATACTTGAATTGACAATTTTAAGGGGACTTCAAACTTTTTTTTTTAATTTCCTTTTTTCATGTGGCGATACCCCTTATAGTCCATACCAGACCTGAAAAAACGGCAAAACACCTCCAAAGGTCCCCCAAAGCACATAGCAGACCCTTGGAGGAGTCTGTGTGCAGTTTAGTGAACCAATCACTAAATGTTATCTGAGTGAAAGCAGAACATTCTCTCTAGAGTTGTTTTACACCATAGGAACCTCAAAGGTTTTTGACAGAACTCTTGTTCTTCCTTGCTGTATTGTATCTAACAGCTTTCTCATTAGGCAGTCATCTGAGTCTGCAAATCAGGAAACTACAAGAAAGAGCAGCCAGACCATTATACAATGCCGACAGAGGGATCACTAGCACCTAGAAAAAGAAATGGTTGGAAAGACTCTTATGCAACTTTGGAAAAGCAGTAAAACGTACGCGAATTCCAAGAAACCCTCACTGATTTGTCAAGGCAAACAAGAATACCACCATAGTGTAGAGTTTCGATTTAAAGTGGTTGTAAACCCTTACATATACCTAGTGAATTGACTGGCTTCAGGTTTCACACAGAAATGAAACAAACCCTCCTACATAAGTTGTACCTGTCTATATATCTGCGGTCTTCTCTTCATCTGTTCAAATTGCAGAATTTTTAAAGCTTGTCTGAGATTTCAGAAAAAAGGGGCAGAGAGCTTAAGTTACTCTGCAGAGTTCAGTGAGGAGAGCTCTGAGAGCTGATTGGAGGGAAGAGACACCTCCTCCACACAGCTCACAGGAACAGAGCTGAGGCTGTTAATCTGCTGGAGGTCCCTCCTCTGTCAGCATTTTTCTCTTGTGTCAAGAAACCATGTCAGAAGTGAATCATACAGATAGAGGAAGGAAGCAGCAGACAGAAATGACACTTAGTGCTCTGGATAGAGACAAGTACACACTATAGAGGGATATGCTTTGTTCATATTCCATGTCTGAGATTTACAACCACTTTAATAAAGATATACAATAGTAATTCACTTACTTTTAAAAATAAACAGTTTATCTCATGCTGGAAGTTGGGGTGCTTTTACTCCACATGGCCACAGCAGAGCTGCGTGATCTTGGGCTACACTGAGAAGCCAGGACCCCAGATATCAGGGCTATGGATAATACAATCAATCCTATGCGTTCTTTCAGGAGTCGTTGATCTTACATCAGGCCTTACATCAGAATTTTGCTGACCTTTGGGTCCTAGCTATGCTTTGCTAGGTACCACTTCAACAGCCTGACAACCAACTGGGCTTATTTTCATCTTATAGTTTGAGCCTAATTAGCATCATTAGTATCTGGTTACACTTGATTCCTAGATCAAATGTAAATATCATTCGTTACATTCCCTTTCCGGAGATTTTATTGCTAATTAACATACAGTGGGTATAGAAAAGAAATCACCCCCTTTAAAATAATCACTAATTGTTGCTTTGCACCCTGAAATGAAGACAGACCCAGTTTTTGTTTTATCCACCTGTATTTACTTTGAAAGATAGAACACCAACATAGCTGATTGTACAGTATATCTGGAGCTGCAGTTTGTACGGTTTAAAATACAACACAAAGTCCCACCCTACTCTGCACATGCTCAGTTGCTCTCCATTTTTAGGCACTCCTGAATCTGCAGAGACTGATCCGCTGACAGCCTTGAAGCGGAATTAAACCCTCCTATCCTTTACAGCCAAGGAATCTGCATCTGTTTAATCTGCAACTGCCATGATGCTGCATATGTGATCATTTATGGAACCAGCCATTTGATAGTTTGTCACAGTTTGCTTGTTTTCAACACAAGCAAATGTCAGTTACCCAGCATTCTGGGAATGTGACTTTTTTTAAACCATTAAATCAATGGGTTTAGTTCCGCTTTATAATTTACTTCTGTTCAGGGGCTCTGGGCTTCGGCCTAAAAATGGCAGCTGCCAGCAACAAGTAACAGGAACAAATGCTGGAGGCAATTTACAACACACAGTAATTTTGGTGGCGTAACTATTAACGTGGAATGTATGTTCCTCGCTAAAGAAAACTTTTTCATCAAGTCGTTATGGGTCAAGTTCTACTTTAAATTTACAAAACATATTTTACAGATTGACCAAGCCAAACAACTAAAATCTACTTATATCTGTTCAACTTACTTTTGATCTGCGGTCATACTTGGTAACAATGTCTGCAAAATCTACTTTTTCCCGTTTTCCCAAAAACTGTCGAAGTTCTGGATGTTCCTCCATACCAATGTAATCTCCAATGAAATTCCGATTAATACTATTGCGCCTTCTTTCTTTTTTGTTTAGGAAAAGATCAGAGGCTGGAACAGTTTACAGAAAAATTAGACACATGCTTGTGACAATAATAATTAAAAAAAAAAATGTTTTATTGAGCAATAATGGAAGACTAATATTCACCGAGAGCCTGAAACCACAGCAACAAAACATGCAAGCGGTATAATGTCTCCCTTTATATTTACCAGAATTCTCTAACAGTTTTACATGGAGATAATTCTTCTGTTACCTTGGTAGCTTGTGGCAAATTACTTAGTACTTCTGCACCAAGTGCAAGGTACCATCCAGAATATTATCTCCATGTCATTTGTATGCCGTTTTATGTTTGTAGAGCGTTTCTGCAAGTGCTCTAGTTTTCCATCACAACCCCAAAACATAGAGGTGAGTTACCTGTGCCAGAATAAACAGACCATGATTGTGTGTGTGCCTATATACTGTAGGTACGAGAAACACATTAGATCATAAACGCGCCTGAAGGGACTGATTTTTAGCAATCCTAAAATATAGTGCAGTATGGAAAGCAATGCACTCTGTACCAATACCATATTTGGCTGTAGAATAGCTAAAATTGATTAATGGCTTGCTTTATTCTTGATTGAAAAAGTTAAAATGACGTATGTTCCTGCTTACTTAAATCCTTTACTCCTTCCTATTATGACTTAAACCCTTAATTTGGCCAAAAAAATGGAAATGCAAAAAAACAGGCAATTAACCCTTGCAGGGCGGCACAGCTCCACTGCAGTTCAGCTTTAAATGTTTTAAAGCACAACGCTGAGCACAAAAATGTTTCATTTAAATTTATTCCTCAATAGCCCAAATGGATAGAAATTAATTTTGTGTGACAAATGCCTTTGTAAATCTAGACATCGCCACGTAAATGTAGTAACTACTTCACTGGAAAAGTTTCCCTTCAGTTACTGTCTGGTGACCATGTGTCACCGGGATATCAAAAAGGGTAAATATCTGCAAAAATATAGACTGTAATAAAAATGCTTATTTTTTTAAATTAGAGAAGGCCAGAACCCCTGCTAACTTTTAGTTGTTGCCCATATTGGCGCGCCCCCCCCCCCCCCCTTCCTGTTTTACCTTGCTAGAAAAAGTCCCCAATGAGACGTTGACTTCACAACGTTTTTTAATTTCTATATGCTATTAGGTTCTCTCTTTCCCCCACTCTAATGAAAAGTGTTTTAATTACCATTATGCTTTTGCTTGTTACCCTTCACTTCTTGTCCTGTAGACAACTCTGTCATTGGGACAGGAAGTGAGGAAAAATCTCCTAGACAGCCATCCATCTAAAAAAAAACAACAAATCTGACAAGGGTTCTAAGCATTCTCTAAGCCAGGGGTCTCTATACTTTATAAACAAAGGGCCAATTTACTGTCCTTCAGTCTTTAGCGGGGCCAGACCATGGCCATCAGGAATAGAAAATGTCCTGGTATCAGTGGGAGTGAACAATGCCCCATTGCTGTCTCAGCCAATGAGGAGGCAGAGACCTGGGACAGCCGAGGCTGTCATTCACATCGCTGGATCACGATGGGGCTCAGGTGGTGTCAGTGAGAGGAACTGTGCCAAATCGATGGTGTTATTGGGAGGAATTGTGCCCAAACATTGGTGTCATTGGGCCCCATTGTTGGTATCATTGGGATGAACTGTGCCCCATCATTGGTGGGATGTGTCTCATTTTGTTGGTGTTAGTGGATGAAACAGTGCCCAAGGGCCAGATGAAAGCAAGCAAAGGGCCACATCCGTCTCCCAGGCTGCAGTTTGGAGACCACTGCTCTAAGCGGTCCAAAACTAGAAAAAATATTTTGGTTTGATTTATAGACTGTATTGGATTAGAATACGAGGCTTCACAATCTTAACATACCAGTAAATTAGAAATTTATTCATATGACATTGCTGGCCTACACATATGACAGACAAGTCAGCTCATTTCATACCTTGTTCTCGCATTTCCACATACTTCTTCCGGGCTACGTACTTCCTCCAGGCTTTCTGAATTGTTCGAGCATAGCCATCATATTTTCTTTCACGCATCTCCTCCAACAGAAATAGCTGCACATGGGGAAAAAATAGGCATCATATAAACAACCATAATGTGAATATGTCAATATCAGCCTGATATACTGGAATATGGTGGGTGCACATACACTAACCAGCCACTTTCTTAGTTAAATCTTGCTAGGACCAGGTTGGACCCCCTTTTGACTTCAGAACTGCCTTAATTCTTCAAGGCATAGATTCAAACAAGGTGTTGGAAACATTCCTCAGAGATTTTGGTTCATATTGACATAAATAGCATCATGCACTTGATGCAGATTTGTCAGCTGCACATCCATGATGCAAATCTCAAATTCCACAACATCCCAAAGGTACTCTATTTGATTGAGATCTGGGGACTGTGGAAGCCAATGCAGTACAGTGAACTCATTTTCATGGTCGAGAAACCGGTTTGAGATGATTTGAGCTTTGTGACATGGTGCATTATCCTGCTGGCAGTAGCCATCAGAAGATGGGTACACTGTAGTCATAAAGGGACGGACATGGTCAATAACAATACTTAGGTAGGCCATGGCGTTTAAACGATGCTCAACTGCTACTAAGGGGCCCAAAGTGTGCTAAGAAAATATTCCCCACACCATTACACCACCACCATCCTGAACCGTTGCTACTAGGCAGGATGGATCCATGCTTTCATGTTGTTTACGCCAAATTCTGACCCTACCATCTGAATGTCGCAGCCGTAATCAAGACTCATCAGACCAGACAATGTTTTTCTAATCTTCAAGTGTCCAATTTTGATGAGTGTGTGTGAATTGTAACCTCCGTTTCCTGTTCTTAGCTGACAGGAGTATCACCAGGTGTGGCCTTATGCTGCTGTAGACCATCTGCTTCAAGATTTGACATGTGTGTTCATAGGTAGTATTCTGCATACCCTGGTTGTAACGAGCGGTTATTTGAGTTACTGTTGCCTATCATCTCAAACCAGTCTGCCCATTGTCCTCAACAAAGCATATTTATCCACACAACTGCCACTCACTGAATATTTTCTCTTTTCCAGACCATTCTCTGTAAACCCTAGAGATGGTTGTGCGTGAAAATCTCCCAGTAGATCACCATGTTTTGAAATATTCAGACCAGCCCATCTGATACCAACAACCATGCAACGTTCAAAGTCACTTAAATCCTCTTTCTTCCCCATTCTGATGTTCGGTTTGAACTTCAGAAAGTTGTCTTCACCAGTTCTAGATGCCTAAATGCATTGAGTTGCTGCCATGTGATTGGCTGATTAGCAATTTGTGTTTCCAATTGAACAGGTGTACCTAGTAAAGAGAAAACCATCACTGACACCCTCCATAAGGGGGGAAAGCCTCAAAAGGTAATTGGAAAAGAAGTTGGATGTTCCCAAAGTGCTGTATCAAAGCACATTAATAGAAAGTTATGTGGAAGGGAAAAGTGTGGAAGAAAAAAAGGTGCACAAGCAGCAGGGATGACCGCAGCATGGAGAGGATTGTCAGGAAAAGACCATTCAAAAGTGTTGGGGACTTTCACAAGGAGTGGACTGAGGCTGGAGTCAGTGCATCAAGAGCCACCACACATAGACGGATCCTGGACATGGGCTTCAAATGTCGTATTCCTCTTGTCAAGCCGCTCCTGAACAACAAAAAAAAACATCAGAAGCGTCTTACCTGAGCTAATGAAAAACAGACCTGGTCTGTTGCTCAGTGGTCCAAAGTCCTCTTTTCTGAAGAGAGCAACTTTTGCATCTCATTTGGAAACCAAGGACCCAGGGTATGGAGGAAGAATGGAGTGGCACACACTGCAAGATGCCTGAAGTCCAGTGTGAAGTTTCCATAGTCTGTGTTGATTTGGGGAGCCATGTCATCTGCTGGCGTTGGTCCACTGTGCTTCATTAAGTCCAGGGTCAACGCAGCCGTCTACCAGGAGATTTTGGAGCACTTCATGCTTCCTTCCGCAGACGAGCTTTATGGGGATGCTGACTTCATTTTCCAGCAGGACTTGGCAACTGCCCACATTGCCAAAAGCACCAAAACCTGGTTCAATGACCGTGGGATTACTGTGCATGATTGGCCAGCAAACTCGCCTGACCTGAACCTCATAGAGAATCTATGCGGCATTGCCAAGAGAAATATGAGAGACAAGACAGCACTCCAATGTTCCAAAACAATCATTTACTGAAGACCTATATCAACCAAAAACACTGACATTTCAAGAATATGCAGACTCTCTTTCTCAGTGTGATGGAGACGCTGTCTGTTGGTCATCTTGAGAAAGTGGGTCTGCCCACCCTTGAAATGTTGATTACGTGTGCTGATATGGGGCTTCAGTAAACGGTCTTTTTGGAACGTTATTGCAGGGCTGGCTTTTTTCTACATTGTATAATAGCTGTCAGGGCATGCGTGTCACTGGAACAAATTTCTTGTCCTTGTAGCACAAAGCCAAAAGATAAGCATATATATCTAAAATCAATAAAGAGAAAAAAAAATTACAGAAAGTTCTAAATTTCACCACTCTGTAAAAAAAAAAAAAAAAAAAAATCTGCCTAAATTAGGAGCCTACTCTATGCAATCTTTTTGCACACCAAGCCGATGCAGAAACTGAATTGCAGCAACTTGCCTCGGTTTTGTTGCTTCACTTATAAAAATATCATTGATGGGCCCAGCTCTGCTACAGAGACTGGGTGTGTTATTTTTTTGGCCATGTACTTACTGTCCAGATATACAATGAAGTTGTGTTATGTTATTTACCAAGTTTAGGGTAGCTCAATTTAACTTTAGTTTCAGCTTTTTATTTTATTTTTTTTTATTATGATAGTTTTTTTTTTGTTTAATTAGTCTAGAACTGAAAATCTTCTGCATGCAAAGGGCAAGATTCCAGCAGATCACATTATCTTACCAGACCACCAAAATGTCTGTCTTTTGGAACACATGAACAAATCGCTTTCCAAGCTAAACACAATGGTGGTTGAATCCGGCTCTGGAAAGACCACATCCATCCGCCTATTACATGTACAAATAATGGTGTGCTCTGTGCTGCACAGGAAATTTCTAGGCCACAAACATTGTGATCGGCAGGGTGTTCTGCATAGCTTGTGCTAACAGCTGTCAAGCATTAACAGTTTGCTACCCAAATGGAACTAACAGTGACAGGGTCCCAGTATACAATACTGCAGAATGTTAGAAAAATTAGGATATTAGTGAACTATTCCCATTATTTTCATACAAATTAATTTGTGAAAATTGTGTTAGACTTCAAAATCAATGGCCAATAAAAAATGCATTTTCAAAACTGTTTTATTATGACAGATAAAATTGCTGCACTGTGCTAAAACAAACAAAACAAACACCCCCCCCCCCAAAAAAAAAAACAAACCCTACAACTCTTTACATACAAAATTAAATTACTTTTTATGGCTCCCTTACAGAAGAACCACAGGAACGGTCTCTCTGGCAGAGATCGAGAAGCATGGCAATAGCTCTTCTCCTGACACTCCATAAAAATTAAATACTAAATAACAAGGTTGCATACACCTTGTTGGATGTAACCACATATGAGCCAGCAGATTTAAAAAAAAAAATGCTGCAATTCCTAGAGTTCTTCTATGTGGATGAATGTAATTTTTTGTTCTTGTGATGGCTCCTCTTCTTTAAAATTTCATCAGATAGCTGGTTCGTACCTCTCTACAGAGCTAGAAGTCTTACTCAGCAGCAGGTTGTGTCAGACATCTTCAATCAGTAAAGTTCATGGTCTCTGCTGGTTGGAGAACTCTAGCTCTGACTCAGCAGGGTGTGTGTGTCAAACCTCTGCAGAAAGAACACTGCTTCCACAAAGCAATGTCATGCTCTACAACAGGCTGGCAGGGGAAAGGCTTTTCTACTCTAAAGAAACTGATTTGTCAGCCTTTGTATACTTTTTGTTTTTATGCACCTAGAATGTATTCAGCTGATTTAAAGCAAAAATTGAGCCAGGCTTTAACCCATTTGCTGCCACCAAAATATGTCATGCATTGGCAGCAGAGGGGAGATTTACACCGGCATTTCCCTGTTTACATGTGATCAGCTGTGATTGGACACAGCTGATCACAAGACCGAGCCGACATCTTTGGCTCTTTCTGTGGATCGGTGATCCGCTGTGTCCGAGGGACACAGAGCACCGCTGATCACCGCGCTGTGCACTCCGGGAGCTGCGCATGCGCGGTTAGAATGGGAGGACGTCATATGACGTCCTCCCAGAACGAGAGAACCACCTTGCGCCCGGCATATTGTTATATGGCGGGCGGGAGGTGGTTAAAGCATCACTTATGAAAAATGTAGAGTACAGAAGTTTGTTGCCACGTCATAGGTGGACGAGTTTTTAAGGCTTGACATGTTGGGTATCTATTTATTCAGCACAACCTTTTAGATTTTAACAAAAAACTTAAATAACATTTTAACTTGTGCAAGAAAAAAACAAAACAAAAAAAAAACCAAAGAAAAATGGCTCTGGCAGCAAAAGGGTTGAACCTGCTCAGCACATCTCATACTATTACTATTGTACCATAAATATCTTCATCTCTATATTCCAAAGATGCATTTGAAGTATAGGAACAGGATAAATGATGTCACTTGGCCAATGGTCATGCAGGATCCTTTCACAAACCTTAAAAACTTGGTGGAAGGACTGAGTAGCTCACATAAAGCATCACATAAAACACCAGCTAAATATAATTTAGTTCTCTTTTAAATTTTATTCACAGGATACCTTTGGAAATATACAGTATAATGAGTCATCTTGATCATGTTGTCTGAATGCTCAGGCATAATGATGATCTGCTTAGTATGGGGATAAATGTTCTCTGTGTCAGATGCCATTACTTTGCTCAGTGTAAATGAATGAAGAGGAGCCTGAATAACTCGCCAAGCATCATGTACAGACTGCAATCCATGTGTTTGAATTATTTTTAGCACTTTTTTATTTATTCAGGTGTGGCTAACACGTCAGTAAAGAGGATGACTGTCTCATTGCAGCAACAGGTGGGGCGCCCTACAAATGACTGCAGATGCTGCAAAATTTCAGCATAGTCTGAAAAAAAAGATTGCTGGACATTTCTCTTTTTTTGTGGTTCATTATGTTTAACATTAAGCTAGCTTATAGAAACTTGCAAGAGAAGCAAAGTATAATATTACCATGTAAATAAACAGGCAGGGTGAGAAAAAAAGGGCACAAGCAGAAAATGGAGAGTAAAGCTGGTGAGAAAAGAGTGAGATATGAGTGAAAGGAGGAAGAAGAGACGCAGACCCAGATACATAAAAGCAGTAACATTTCTTGTTGCGAGTGACAGCCAGTGAGCTTCTAACCGGTATTTGTATGCTCCAGGTTTGCTCCAAGTTCAACTTTATGTTTTTCACTTTTCTGTGACATATAAAATGTGTTTTTCATTAGTTTGTTTGTGGACCCCATTATACACCCAGGATACTCACTGACTCAGGAGCTTTAATGAACACTTTTGTTTTCCCCAACTGGAACTGGTCAGGCTCCATATTGACAGAATGCAGTAAATGGAGGACACCCCTTTTCTCATCTCCACGCCATGTAGGCCAAGTCTCTTTGGTCAAAATTGCATATCTGTAAAGAAAATGCACACATAAATAGAAATATTTTACAGACTATGATAATTTATATAAAACAGCTCCATAGTAAAGTGAACAATTATTGGTGTGACTTTATACAATATCAGATTTTGTTTAAAGTGATGTCATATTCTCCTCGTCCAATCAGAAAATGCTTTGCATTCTCCTAATGGCACCCATGCCGAGTGACCGACCTCTGGGGTTCAGAATGCAGCAGGGTAGTCACCCAGCATGTGACTGATAAGCGAGTGGAGATCACTGGAGTAGAGGTGTCTACTTCAGTGATTTCAAGCTTCCAGGGGCATCGGTCGGGTATGTAATATACAAAGGTACATTGGTTCAAGGTGGACGAACGTAACTATGCATAAAATATTCATACTTGGAATCCCTGTTTTAAAGGAACACATTAGTTAACACTGACTATTCCAACAGTCTCAAGTAATGTTCATATTCATCACAGCACTTTCCTTCATTGGGCAACATATGGATAACACTGGCCCACACTAGGATTACCATTCAACCTCAATAGATCATTGTATTATTTCACTAATTTAATTAAAGTAGTCAGTACTGCCAAACCCGACAGTTTACAATCAAATACTACTAATTCATGGTCACAAAACAGACCAAGCTAGGGCCAATTTAGGTCATGGTCAATTAGCCTTCAAGTATTTCTTTAGATTCCAGAAGGAACCTGAATATCCATAGAAAAAACACAAAAATTTGAAGATCATCAATATGCATAGCAGACAAATCAGTCATTGTGCAAAAACCAGCAATGAGATGTAAATTACAGAAATCATTCAAGCAATCACTTATATCATCTCTGCTTATTGCACTGCATTACCAAAGTAATCCCAATATTGTCCTGGTCAAAATTAAAGACGAGATTCCTGAACTGCAGTTTCACCATGCCAATCACTGTGCTGTTAAAGTGTATGTTACTCTAAATATTTTATTGTATGTGTGCATTCACATGTGCATTTTATAAATCGTAGTCTATCCTTTTTATGTACTTCTTCCATCTGAAGTACCTAGTTGACCCTGGCAGTCACCCCCCTTCTTTGTTCTAAACTGACCACACAAAAGCACAGAACCTGCTCTGTTCTTGCGTGGTCAGTTTTTCATCTTTTGTCTTTTCAAAGGTACAGGATGCTGTGCAAATAGCATGACTATGTTGGGTAGTTTGTGCAGCCACCACAACCTCCACCCCCAACCAATCACAGCCTGCCTCTGGTGCACACACACCCTTACCAATCGTATCCTGCCTCTGAAACACACCCCCTTACCAATCATAGCCTGCCTCTGGCACACACCCCCTTACCAATCATAGCCTGCCTCTGGCACACACCCCCTTACCAATCATAGCCTGCCTCTGGCACACACCCCCTTACCAATCATAGCCTGCCTCTTGAACATACCCCCTGCTCAAGCGCAACCTGCATCTTGCCTCAATCTTAACAGACTATGGAGTACAGGCATGATGTGTGTCTGCACAGTGTCCTGTAACCTTGCCCCCCACTATCAGGAAAAAGAAATGTATGTTCACACAACATAACGTTTTAACTATAAAACTGTAAGACAGATCATTTTTTAAACTAAAACAAAAGCAGTTATGGTGCCTGCAAAATTATAATCACCAAGGGTCACATAGTATGTTCATAACTACTTTAAAGTGTCTTAAAATGTATCAGTTTTGAGACGTTATGCACACTTTTTGATATCGCATTTTGCGAATACCATCGTTATCAGCAATTGACATTTTTTTAATGCACATTTTGGTTTGATAACTTCGTCCCTGATCACATTTTTTGAACGTATTAGCGTATTAGCTGTGACTCTCCTAAGGGTAGGGGTCTTATTTCAGATTTGTATCGCCTTTTTTGGCAACTATCTTTCCCTCACTCCCCTTGTATAGACAGAAATGGGAGGCTGATAGTGGTGTCACCTTCTCTGAAGAGGACTGGGAATCCATGGTGGATAACATACGTAAGAGCTCTAGATCTCTTTTGGTCTATGAGACGGCCCTTAAAAGTATTAACCTGTTGGTAATATACCCCCTCTAGACTACACATCATGTTTCCAGGGACGTCTCACCTTTGCTTTTGGGGTTGTGGCCTTGCTGGTACCCTTACGCATATATTTTGGGCCTGTCCAAGCCTTTCATTGGTATGGCGCAAAATCTCTGAAGTGGCCTCTACTGTGGCAGAAGCCCCAGTGCATTTGTCTTTGCAGACTTGCCTACTGGGAGCCCATATCTCTGGAATATGGACTGAGGCTATGAGGCTAATTCATACCATCTGTTTTTCAACCCTATGGGCCATTGCCCTTCATTGGAAGTCGCCCACGGTAACATTGGCCTCAGTTCTATAAAGTCGATGTGGTGATGCTCATGGAATGTATTCACTATACTGGATAGGATGCATTTATTTGACAGAAAATGGGATGTTTGGAAAACTCATAGACATTTACTATCTGAACAATGAATATTCGTGATTTGATTGATAGTGTTTTTCTGTTGGTAGCCTTATTGCTCTGCCTACCTTGCTCATGTAGTTGACTTTTATGCCTTATATGATTGTACCTTATTGGAATGAATATTACAGATGTGCCTTTCTTCTGTTGTATATTATACTTAATGCTGTTATGCTGTTTTTTGTAGTCTATTCCTTAATAAATAAAAAGGTTTGTAAAAGTGTCTTAAAATGCAGATGTTCCTTCAATTAATATTCTGACAATTTAAAAATGTACTGTGGAAATATATAAATAATCTTAGCTTGCTTTACTAATTTATATATGAAGCCATTAGACTGCTGCTGTTCTGTCCTGCACACATATACTGTATGTCCACATGTAACAGACAAGGAATGAATTCATAACCTTTTCATATAGCAACACACTTTTATTCTATGTACCCTTACAATACATTTATTGGCAGTCTTCAATGGCTTTTGCTCAACTTTCTCTTGTCTAACATCCTTTGTGAACATGGTTTAAAAAAAAAAAAAAAAAAAAAAAAGTACTAGATTGGCAATCAATATCATGCTACAGTAAACAATGTAGACTGATAGAGAAGGGGTAGCATGGCAACTACAGAACTAGTGCAAACATGAATATATCAGTGTCATATGTGTGCACTATGCAATGAAGTTATTACCGTAGCAATAAATGTGTACAAGCAGACTGTGATGCTGCATGTTCACAATCCTAATTGTAGAGATCAAAAGTGATTCTTGCCTGTTTTATTCATGAGTTCTGACAATTTTCCAATTTATAACACTGCTTGGTCTCTACTCAGTTTTCAAAATTTTGAAGGAAGGTTGAAATAAACCTCTGATATCTTTCACCAGCTTACTCAAACTTCCTATTAAATTTTCAATGAAAAATATTTACACTACCCTAAGACTTCTGTAATCCATTATACTCAGCGGGGTGAAGCAGGAAAATGAACATTTTCAGGGCAAACTAGGCTGACATACTGTTAAATGAAAAATATAAACCTAAGCAAGCAATGTAAAATTAACTGTCAGTCTGAACTGACTAAAAGTGAAACTAAACTCTGGTTTAAAAGAAAATCTATTTAAATATGTATTCTTAATACAAAAAGTACTTTCTATTGCTCTCAGCCTCATCCAAATTCATATTTTTTTGGATGCTGTGATCCTACTTGTTGTTAGAGGGTGGCTATGTTCATTATGCATGGTCACTCTGTATGTAAGAATGCAGCCACCCTCTCCTTGCTCACATATCCCATACTTTCCCTTGAAACCTGTTCGGAACTAAATATGGAGGGTGCTGCTGCCCTCCTTCTGAAAGCTAGTGAACTCAGGGAAAAGGCATAACTTCTGCAAGTCAGACACTTAAGCTTGCCACACAGTAATATTTTTTTCATTCAGCCTACAGGCTGAATGAAAAAAAACCAAAAACCAAAAAAAAAAAAAAAAAAAAACCAAAAGAAAAAGCAAACAAAAAAAAAAAAAAAAAAAAAAGAAAGATTCCACTTTCCACGCTATACAGCGCAAATGGACAAATTTGGAGTGTCGGCTATTGTATTTTGACAGCCAGTGTCGGCGAATGTCAAAATACCCAAAGAGCAGCTGTATTTGATTAGATGCAGCCAAGGATCGGCCAACAATTTTCCACCTGTCAGGCTGTAGGGTGTAAACAAGGCTACCCACAAAGTGAAATTTGCTTCTCCATGAAAAAAATAAGAAACTAGCATTGTTAGTTACTTTTTGAAGGAATCCCTAGTTGTCATCAGAACTAGTGTCCCCATTGGAAGAGTACACATTAGTTCCTGTTCGGGCGAAAGCCTTTAATTTGGGTTTTTTTTTTTTTTTTACTTTCACTCTCAGTGATAATGGTATGCAGGACAAATACAGACAGTGAATCTCCCCAACAAGGGCACAGACAGCAATAGAAACAGGTGCTCTAGTCTAATCCTTATCCACTCTATCCAAAACTAAAAAAAAAAAAGGTTTTAAATTCAAGGATAAGTTCACCTTTTTGCCAAAAATAATAAATGCACATTTTTGCAGGTAAAAAAAAAAAAGTGCATTTATTATTTTTGTCTACATGAGCCTGGAAAGCATTGCACCAGTGATCAGTAGATCGCTGATGCCATGCAGGTCTCCTGCAGACCTGTCAGAATATCTGCTTGCCATACGGGATGTACGAGCAAGCAGATATTCTGGCAGGAAACTTCAATGAACTACCAAGGCGCTCCACAGTGCCGTGGTAGTTCACTGAAAGCTACAAGCTGACTGCCGCTAAAGCTGTCGGGACTTGCAGTTCATTCATTCATGGAAGTCCGTGAATGAATGATGCGGGCGTGTGGGCAGACCCCAGCACGACCTTCAAATTTGACAGATAGTACGGGGAGAAATCTTCCCGTACTGTCAGAGGCAGGGGGCCGCGGCTATGGAAATATGTTACATGTTCCACCCTAAAAACCGGTGGAACATGTAATATGTTCCCATAGGTGAACTTATCCTT